ATGTTATGGTCACTGCTACCTAGATGTTCTTTTATATGGAAATTCGTAATAAGCTCTGCATGGTTTGAGATTACCAGGTCCAGCACAGCATTATTCCTAGTAGGGGCCTCTATGAACTATACCATAAAATTATCTTGTAGTAAGTTTAAAATATTTTGCCCTTTAACTGTTCCTGCAGTACCATTACTCCAGTCAATTTCCGGGTAGTTCAAATCCCCCATTATTATCACTGTCCAAGCCCTTGCAGCCCTTTTGATCTGTGCAAGGAGCTGAGTTTCCACTTCCTCATTAACACTAGGAGGCCTATAACAAAATCCAATGATTACCTTTGTAGTGCGCACCCCCATGTGCAGTTCCACTCATAATACTTTAGCCTCATCACAATCTCCATCAACTAGGTCCTCCTTCACACTCGCTCTGAGATCACTTCTCACATAGAGACAGACACCACTACCTTTCCTATTCACTCTGTCTCTTCGAAAGAGAACATAGCCAGGAATATTAATGGCCCAGTCATGTGAAGAATGAAGCCAAGATTCAGCAATACCAATTAAATCATAGTTCTCTTCATGCAACAAAGCTTCTAAATCACCTATTTTGCTTGGCAGACTTCTGGCATTGGTGAACAAACACTTTAATTGATTGTCATCTTGTTCACACATATTTTGCATATTTTTTATTTTCGTACAAATGGTACCAATTCCACTGGTTGTTTGTAACATGGGAACCTTCTTTTCATCTGCCATAGCCTTCCCCCCATCTTTCCCCATTCCACCCACCAATAATTACTGACCCCTGTCTGATCTGTCTACCCTGTTATAATCGAATTCTCCCTCCCCCCATGATCCTAGTTTAAATACTCCTCCAGCCTTCCCATAAACCTCTCCCCCAGCACAGCAGACCCCCTTCCATTTAGGTGCAGACCATCTCTAGCATATAGGTTGCACCCCAATGAAAAGTCAGCCCAGTGCTCTAGAAACGCAAATCCTTTTGAGGTGGTTCTGAACAACCAGCACATGCATTTTCATATCTGTACATAGCCCATAATACGTGCTATCAGCAAAAAAAAGTTTAATCTTCCTTTGACTAATATTTTGGACTTTATTAGAGATGAAACATAATTCCACTGATCTTAAGAAAACGAATGTTGCAGCAGACAGTCTGGTGCCTCCAATATAGGATGACCTCACCCCCACCCCCACCCACTGCTGGCCTTAGGCAGACAGGTCTGAAGCATCCCTTTAAGAGTTGGTGCTTATGTATCTGCACACAAGCCTAAAGGACCTGACAGAGTGTCATTATCAGCTGAGTGTTAAGCTGGCCATAGAGAGATCACAGTTCGGCTGGTTCAGTAGTGACCAACTGAATTTCAATCCATGTATTGCAATTCCCACTCAATAGAAGTTGATCTAATAACTGACTTCTGTGAAACAGGACTGTTGGAAAACTTTTTTCCACCAGCCACTGATCAGTGTATTCTGACAGCACAGAAGTCTCGCTGTCAGAATACAATGCCACAGGGGGGAGGATTTCTTCATCAACCTCAATTCTGTAGGAGGGGGAATTTGTTTTTTTATTTTTCTGTTGAGCCAGAAAAAAAATGATCCTTAGTTCCTTTGATCTTCATGCCCAAAAGCTGTGTATACAAATTCACACTTCAGACATAAATCTACTCTGTTAACTACTAAATAAACCACTTCAGCCTTCGCAACATAACCAAATGTCGCCAGGTTGAAGTGGTTATATTGGGATGATGTCTGCATTCTTCAGGCGATGTTCAAGAATGTAAAAGCAGTCCTAGTAGTTAATTAGCTACTGGATCACTTTTAAAGGAGGTGGGTGTCCTCCCATTCTGCTGTCTTCGACTGGCTTACCATAGAGATGATCGAACACCAGTACACCCCCAATCACCTCTTTGGTATAAGAAACTGGAAGCTGCGAGTATTTTGCCATTTCTGTTTTTTTCTCAGATGTAAAACAAGCCATTACTGGCTTGTAGAAGCATCAGATCAAACCGACCTTGGTTTGACCAGATGATTTTAAATGCATATGAGAGATCTGGGGTCTAATCGACCTCAGATGTCTCAGTAAAAAGAACCTGTCACTGCCCATGTTATCACAAAGGTTATTGTTCAGTTCAATAAAAGTGATAAAAAAATAAAGAGACAGAGTACAAATGCAAAAAAATTAAATAAATAATAAAATAAATTTTTTTAAAGCACCCCATACCACCCCCACCCCCCATGCTCACTTGCAAAGGCAAACCACACGTTAGTGCTGCATGCATAAATGGTGATTGCACCACACATGTGAGGTATCGCAGCTGATGTCAACATGGGAGCAATAATTCTAGTGCCAGACCCCTTTGGAACTTCTGACTTTTTTTTCTATTTTCCTATTATGCTAACATGTTCCAGGTCCCTAAAAGAGAGAATATTAAAGCCTGAAAATCATCATACCAGCCAGTCAACTAGCATTGTAAGAAGGATTATTGCAATGGCTGTAGGCAATTATAATATTGGCTATATATATTTTATTAGCCCCTGAGGCATTAAAAAAGTGGTTGGCAAGCAAGCACTGCTAGTGTTCCTGTAATACTCCCCCTCACCCCAATATATTGTGCCACCAGTCTTTTCTTTGTTGAAAAATAAACAAAGGATCATTCAACGCACTTTCTGTGAGCCCGGGGTATCATAGACCCGTCCCCTGGGTAGTAAGGATAGTGTTGCAGGAATAGCACCCACTTCATGTACCCATTTTGCAGTATTCAGATGCCTAGAAATAAAAAGTATATATACAAATTTAAAAAAAAAAGTGTGGCTGGAAAGGAGGGGCTCAAAGTCAAGAATGATTCTCTGGTGGGTGGCACTGCCCAACATTAAATAAGTATTGAGTACTGAGTGTCCGTAGCATTAAATAAAGAATTGTTTTCCTAGTGGCTTTAGTATTCTTAGTTCACATTGCTTTTTTGACTGTTTAAAAAAGACACCAACATGTCAATGGGAGGAAAAAAAACAAAAAACACACAACTCATGAACTATTTATGAATGAAATTCAGAATGAAAACTGCACAGTGACGTCTGGCAAAGATATGCAAATATCGTTTATAAGCACTACATTCCAGTTCAGGAAGCCTGGCTGCTGTCTAAATGATTTATCAATGTAGATTTTCCTTCTACTCAACAAGAAATAAAAGTGTGCTGGGTACACTGATGTCAGAGAGGAAACCACTCTACAGTAAAACCACAGATTACCAGAAAGCAGTGGAAAATCCACAGAACTGGTATATAATGCCGGGGTCCTTGCTTGATGTACAACTCAGACCATCTACCTGCTGCAGAGATATTCACATAGAGGACAGAGAAGAACTATGGACAACACAAGAGCCACCGTGGTGAGGACCTCTTTGTTGAGCTTTCTTGATTAGACATTACCCTCAAGCAATGCAAAACTAAGAGGGAGCCTGTCATTACCTTTTTATCATATTATTTTAAATTTTAAGCCAGAGCAGCAAAATACTTCTGCAAATATTTTCTCATGGTGTATCTTCTCTCATATAGTAAATACTCTTGAATTTGGTAAAGTTTTAAAGTTGGAAAAAATCTTATTTCACTTTCTGCCTGTGGAGGAATGTAGATACATGAAATGTTGCATCTTTGTAATCATTCCATTGTCAGATTTTTAAATTCCCACTTCCATGACAATTTTTGGTTAGCTAGATAGGATGTATATTTTAAAAGCCTGTAAAAGCTTTACAGACGTTACATAGTTCGGCTGAAAAAAGACTTAAGTCCATTAAGTTCAACCAATTAAAACAGTAATTAATAAATACATTAAAAAAATGATATTTAGATCCAGAAATCTAAACCCACAGTTGATCCTGAGGAAGGCAACAAAAGCCCTTATAAAGCATGGTCTAATATGACCACCCAACAGGGAATAACACAATTTTTCATGATCCCTGGATAAAAAAATCTGTGGTGTTATTGGTGTGGTTATCTTTTGCAAAATGTATTAATTTACTATATTGTTCTACAATATAAAATATATCATAGAGACAGAAATGTTTTACACACAAGAATTCCTGCACATATTGTTTTTTTTCTATCGTCTTTTTTTTAAGCTCAGAACTAAAATTAACATTTTCAAAAATATGTTTCTTTTTGTAAATTGTTTAATAATGAGTTAACAAAAGGAAAAAAACACAAAAAAATGTGCTATAATACATTTAATCTGAGTGTTCAATTTCATCACTATTGATCAAACCTGTACTGAATGAACAGTAATTTCAAAGTGATTTTAACAGAATGGATCAATGTTCTTTCCTTTAATTTTTGTTAACAGTTTCGATTAAACAAAGAAAAAAATAGACACATTCACATTACATTTAGAAAAGGCAAAAAATGTTGATAAACACCTGTCTAGTATTTTAAATGATGAATAGCTGCAGTAGGTTCTATATTCTGGTGTTCATATATTTGATTTTGGGTTTTTTTTTAAGTTTTACATCAGTAGAATCTATTTTACAGATTTTAATCCAACAGGGTTGATTTAGAAAATTCACTTGATACTTTCACTTAGCAAAGTGAATGATCGCTTTGCAGAGTGTTCACACACTTTGCAAGGTGAAAGTAAGTAAATAAACTGAACCTCTGTACACGTTGAACACCCAATTACTGTATGTGGAAGGGGGTGAAACAAAATCAGGCTTTTTGTTATGAGGCTGAGTTAAATAAATGTAGCTTAATCTTATGTACTAAACTCAGCAAATTTTCATTTCAACCCCATTTTGCTGCAAATTATACGTCATTAACTGGTCCGGATTTTTTTTCCCCCAGATCCAGCTCACTGTACTGATTTTGCTCCTGGGAGACTCTCTGTTGATCCCTACTGTGGCTGTGGATCTCCATCACCTGAAGAAAGGAGGGTGCCCACCTGTTACAAAATTCCCTTCATCAGTGAAAGTTAATCTAAACATTAATGGACAGGGCAATCCCGCCATGAGTGGTGATGTGAGGAAACGCTCCATCTCTCCATGGGAGTACAGGTAACTCTTTACTTCTACCATCACTCAAAAAAATGCAAGTATTAGGTGTAATGTTAAGGCCTTTAGCATCTTTAGAGTAAATTTCAAAATTGCAGTTTTATTACATAAAGCTAAAATCACTGTGAAAGCAAATTTATGAACATGTTTTTGGAAAATAATTACCTTGTGCTGATCATTTCGTATCTTCAGTGGGCAAAATGTAAGACTTTACTGCAGTAAAATGGAGTTACTTAATCTTTAAAGGGAATAAAAAAATAAGCTTCCTATATTATCTTTATTTCAAATTCTAAAATATTATATATTAACATTTTTTACTAAATAATGAAAATAATAAGAATACAAAATGTTTTCTTTTTAAACATCCTTGTGAAAAGGGAAAGGCTTAAATCAATACCAGCCCTTAGATTTGGCTGATTTAATTTTCTGTTTTTAGGCTTTTTCTCGTTTATTTACACCTAATGATATGTCTAGTAACACACTTCAGGGTAAATTTACTAAAACTGGTGCACTCAGAATTTGGTGCAGCTGTGCATGGTAGCCAATCAGCTTCTAACTTCACCTTGTTCAATTAAGCTTTGGCAATAAAACTTGGATTCTGATTGGTTTTATGCAGAGTTTCTCCAGATTTTGCACTCTTTAGTTTATTAACCATTTGCCTTCCGGCCGCTGTATATAAACGGCCGGATGGTGGCAGTCCAGGAGCGGGTTTCCGTTCATAAATGGCGCCCCGGACACAGTGGAACACCGATCGTCGTACGGGACCTCTGTGCGAGGTCCCAATAATGTGATCACTGATTGGCCAATCAGTGATCACATGCAGAGTAGTAAGCATGTCACTTCTGACATCATTGCTTACTACATGTGAAATCTGTGAATGATCCCAGAGGTCACATGGTACAAGGCTATTCACAACAGCCTTGTACCATGTGACAAGCTGTGACCAATCACAGCTCACACAGTATTTCTTAATGGCTGCACGAGTGCAGCCAGAGAGAAGGAGAAATTATTGCTTTTATAGCCTTTATGGGTGTAAAAAAAAAAAAAAAAAAATCTTCATCACCCCCTACAAGTAGTACAGTGTCACCATGGTGACACTGTACTGCTAGGGTGACAGTATGTAAAAAAAAACAAAAAAAAACAAAAACCATAAATAATAAAAAAATAAAATAAAAATGTATTTTTTTATTTAAAATTATAATTTTTTGTTATAAACTAATTTTTTTTTTTTTTTTTTTTACTAAAAAGATAACTGAATACATTTTGGCCAAGATTTATGATGAAATATTATTTATTTGCAAAATTTTATAAGAAAAACGCTTTTTTTTCAAAATTTTTGGACATTTTCATTAATATAGCAAAAAAAATAGAAATCCCAGTGGTGAATAAATACCACCAAAATAAAACTTTATCTGTCTCAAAAAAATGCTAACAAATTCATATGGGTTCAGTGTTGCATGACCGCGCAATTGTCATTCAAAGTGTGATAGCTCTGAAAGTTGACAATTGGCCAGGACAGGAAGGGGGTGAAAGTGTCTGGACTTAAAGTGGTTAAATAACCCCCTTCCTATCTTCGGGTGGTTTCTCTATCTATGAAAGAGCAATGGACACACACTTGGGCAGCAGTGGCATTGTCTAAAGAGTGTCATATGGATTAGTAGATTTAGATGGACTTAACATAAGTGACTAACTAAAACCTAACTCCAGCTAATACTTTTTAAGCAGCTACAGAATTACTTTTTTCCTTTTGGGATAAAGGTTTTAATTAAATGATTGAAAGCTGACCATTGTTAGCACCACTGCCACTTATGCTGGACATATGAAAAGGTTAAAAAAAAAAAGTGGCCATCACATTTAAGGATTGGTAAGCTGCAATATAACAAATCTTTGCTCTTAGGTTTTTTATATTGCTAATAGAGGTTTTTCAACATGTTGGAAAAACTCTTTGCAACTTAATCAGTCCTCCCCTCTACTCACTGAAAAGAGAAAAACTGCATTAATGTATTAATTACACTGGGTAATACAAGAAGCAGTGGCAGCCCTAGGAGATATGGATGATCGGTAGATGTCTTCCCAACCATCGTACTTAGGAACATATGTAAACTGAAAGTGCTAGGTAACTTGCAGGTCAGTGGATAAATGTATTGTAGTTGGAGGATCAGCATGACTAATGCTGAGAAGAAAAGTTCAGCAGTGCTCATCTTGGCTTAGTAAAATGAATTCAGGCTGTGAATTTAGCCCAGTTGATGTATGCCCAGATACCATTACTAGTGCACTGGTTGACTTTACTTGTTGTCTGAGGTCACTTCATAATGACTTACAATGCGTACTTTTTCTTGCCCGCAGCTATGATGTGAACAACAATCGATTCCCCTCTACAATAGCTGAGGCCAAGTGTCTCCATACAGGATGTTTGGATGCAGAGGGTAATGTGAACATCAACCTGAACTCAGTTCCCATCAGACAGGAGATCCTGGTCCTCTATCGAGAGATGAAAGGCTGTGTTCCCACCTTCAAGCTGGAGAAGAAGATGGTCACTGTTGGCTGCACCTGTGTCCACCCCATGGTCCAGGAGCAATAACACAGAATGAGAGTGATATTACTGGACTCTATTTGCCTGCCAGCCATAAATTGTTCTCTAAAAGAGAAGAGAAAGGCTGACTCTACAATTTGATCCATTTCCAATGGTTGACCTGTTCACATAGGTTGAACAGGATGGACCTGTGTCTTTTTCCAACCTTGTAGACTAGGTAACTAAGTAATGGTACAAAATGTTCTACTCCTAAAATAATTCCAATGAACTCAATGAGTTTACTTTAAATATTTCAAAAGCCAAAGGTTTGTGTAGAGTAATGAAAGATTCAACCCCTCTCAGTTTTTTCCTCTTTGTGTCCCGCTGTAGTGATATTATTTTCGCACAACAGGAAATAAGAGGAAACCCCTCCACCGTAATAGAAATCCTCTGCTAGACAGTTGCCACTAGAAAATGTCCCCATTGGATGATTTCTCTCTCTTCTTGTGACAACCCAAATTATTGAATTATCCCATCACTTTCTGTCTACAATGGTCAATGAATATTGGTAACAATGGGCCAGAAGAAATACAGAGGGTAAAAATCCTCACAAACAGCAGTAACAACCTGATAGAGGTTCTAACCCTTCCACACGCCATCCAAAACAAAAAAGAAATGGCTTTGGATATACTTTAGTAGCTGTCAGATAATTTAATTAAAATAGATAAAGTCTAGACCAGGAGTGAAGCATTCTGTATCGTATAGAGTTAATTATGTTGAAGTGCTGAGTATGAATGATAGATACTGTACCTCTTTGTTTCAATGAAGATTTAGTGTGTTTTGGAACATTCCTTTTAAGCAACTAACTTAGTTCCCTGGGCCCTTGTACCCTTTGCATCTTGAATTTGCTGATAATGATGAACTTCTTATATGTTACCATTGTAGCAATAGGCTGTGGAACATTTTGTGTGATAGCCTGAACAATCATTCAACTTTCAATTTCACCATAACTGGGGGGAAAACACAAAGACCTGGTAAATAACTTGCCAGCCCTATTCCTTTCCAGATCTTTTATTACGCAATGACTGGTGCACTTTAAATAGATCCTGTCACCCAGCCATATTGTAGGCTTGACCGGTACATTGAAGCATACTGCCTATTATCCTACTAGTTGTCTCCTGTCCACTGATTGGGCATGTTTTCAGTGATATGAAAGCCAAGCATCGGATCAACACACAAGATGGCCACCAATGACAGGTTCTACCAAACTGAGCATTTGATTGTGTTATATATTGGCAGATATACTGTGCATAGTAAGAATCAGTAGCACTGATTAAGTGTGGTTACTTGTGTAGCAATGTATGTTGCATATTCTAAAGTTACTGTATTTTTATCCATGTATTTATGTATTTATAACTTCTGTGGGATGTCTACAGTGTATTTATTATAATAAAAAATAAAATAAGCAACACAAAGCTGAATATTATAAAGTTTTTTTTCATGGTAAATGTTATTACTTATTCTATTTTGCTTTTGTATTGAATGAAAAGGATCAGTTTACAGCACATATTCTAAACCAGTGTCCCATGGAATCTTAGAATTGATCCAGGGGTTGTTAAGGGTTATTTCAGCTGTGCTTGATTGACCTCTTATCTGATGGTGCCTGGATGATGCCTGGTCTAATGCCACTTGTCAGTGCCAGGACAGGACGGAGCAGTCAAGATGGTAGTTTTTTTTGGACAAGCTTTAGGGAAAGCAGAGCTTGGCCTACAGGTATTGCATGTGAAATAAGCTCCATTTCTCTAAGCCAGGGATGTCCAACCTGCGCCTGCGGTGCCCAGCAATACGGCTATGAATGCATCCCAACACAATTTTTCCATTGTTCCAGCTTCGCCTGTTACATTCCCCATGATATAAGATCAATCAATAAATTAAAAAAAATACATAAATAAATCCAGCAGGGATAGTGGGTATCCCCCACAATGGGCACAGCAGGTCCAGTAACTCAGTACAGAGATCTCACCAATTGAATTCCAGAGAGATATAAGAAATTGTGAGATGGTTTAATGCTTAGAATCTCCCAAAATCTGGAATGTCAATTCTATCATGATGCTGTGCTGCACTGGTGGCAGTATGTAAAAAAATAAATTGTGAAATTTTTTTTTTTTAATTTCTTCATTTTCCAAAAACATGACCAAAATATTTCAACTTGAAAAAACTCACCTTGCCTCTTACTAAATACCTCGGATTGTCTACTTTGCAAAAAGGGGTCATTTGGGGGATATCTGTACTGTTCTGACATTTTTGGGCCTCAAAAAATTAGATTGGCCGTCAGCACTTCTGAATTGATCAATCTTCAGATGTATACCATCGTTTGTGACCTCTATAACTTTCCTACAGACTATTTAATAAATACTGATTTTGGGTATTTTCACCAAAGAAATGTAGCAGAATACATATTGGCCTAAATTAATGAAGAACAATTATTTATTGCAAAATTTTATAACAGAAACAAAGAAAAACATGGGGTATTTCAAAATATTTGGTCTTTTTTATTAATTTAGCAAAAAATAAAAATCCCAGTGGTGATTAAATACCACCAAAAGAAAGCTTTAGTTGTTTGAGCAAAATGTTAAAAACTTAGACTGGGTACAGCGTTGCATGACCGTGCAATTGCCATTCAAAGTGTGAGAGTGCTGAAAACTGAAAATTGGCCTGGGCAGGAAGGGGGAAAAAGTGCCCAGTATTTAAGTGGTTTAAAAACTAACAGTAAATGCTGTATTATGTGCTTGGGTTTTCCATGGAGGAAGTTCCAGTGGAACAAAAGAGGATGTCCCACATACATAAGTCAATGTTCCTATGTTTCTAGCAAATGTAGCCATGATGTTTGATTGATGTGGTGAAACTATACTATTTTTATATATTGACATAAAGGTTTTGTATTTTACCTCTTTACTCCTCCAGTTGTCCTTAAAGTCCTGTATCACCACTGGGGGTCTATCGTTTCTAGAGATAATTGAAGGACAAGTGAAAGGCCATGCTAATGAAAGCTAAGTGGGGGGGATTATTAATCCAGTTATATACCTAAAGTGTCATTAAACTAACATAATTAAAAACTTACATTAAATGCTGAATTATGTGTTGTTCACACTCTGTCACTATGGGATTTGTTTTCTGTATTCTGCACAAAACCTAGTTGATCCTGCTGTTGTCTATTTCCCCCTTCTGTCCATGTCCCCAGTGCAGTTTGGGATTTTTCATAGCAGTGTTGGCAGCTAGTGCACATGCTCAGTTTTCAGTGTATTTTCTGCCCTGAGCATTTGCTCTCTATCACAACTGAGCAGCCCTTGTGACTATAGAGTTACACTTGTGGGTGTATTTACAGTGATAAATGACAGTCCACTCCTTCCCTCCTCCTCCTCCTACATGCCCACTAACCAGTTAAACACAATGGGGGATAGGATATTCCATCTTGATTGATGGAGGCTTCACCTCCCTGTTATTCTAAGACACAGGCTGGAGGGGCATGGCACAGGCTGTGGCTGGCAGAAATCTGCCCACACTATGGTATTGCCAAAAATAGTGAAGATTTGATTTCAAATATGTTTGTGTATGAAAATTTAAGTTTATTGATATTAATTATTTATTTCTACTCTGTATCGCGAAGGCTGATTGTTCAAAATTTTTTTTACATTATGTGGCCAGCAGTAGAGGAATAGAAGCTCCTCCTGCCACTGTTTCCCTACAGACAGACTGGGAAAGAGTTGGGTCATTGGCGAGGAAAGAAGGCCATCAACAACAAACCATCCATTTATGGAGAACAGCTTTTACAGGCTAAAAAAACTCCTGAAATACACTGAAAAAAAGTTCTAAAATGCTCACAAGCATTCTTATTGATATCTCTGGTGCCCAAAACACCCAAATCTGCCTCAAAAGTGGTTCACGTAGCTTTAAGAGCATCATCAATCATTGGGCTGCAGGTATATGAGCACTCATATGAACAGTCACTATTAAAATACATGGGATTTAGGATGTTGAGAGTTTTGAAACCTTAAGCTTTAGGCTTCAAAACACTCAGGTGTGAATGGAGCCATAGGAATGAGTGAAATCGAGAGTTTTTATGTTCTTGAAAGTTCGGCAAAAGTCTAGGTGTTCAGTAAAATTTTGCCATTTTTGGGGAAGTATAGTAGTTATTGGTGGCATTTAACCGGAACGACGAACGTCCTGCCTGTCTGTCAATTTGCAATATGCTGGGCGGGAATCTCTTTGTTCTGGGTGGACTTCATATGAACGTGCATCACACAAAGCCATGTGGCCACTGCAGGCATGATCTGTCACCGGCTGTGTTAACCTCCCTAGCGGTATGATTATGTCAATATTTCTGTGCTGAAAGCGGTACATTTTTTGCATGGAAATATGTATTTGTTTGATTGTAGGCCTGCAATTTTTAGGAATAACTCACTGAAAATCTGTCCGAGCAAAAGTCTAGTACACATCCCGGGTATGTTAAAATTTGAAACACGAAATCATAAATTATAATTTAATAAATAATCATAAAATATAATAATATAATAATAATACATTTAATTAAATAATCTAATCAAACCAAAAACACTGAAATTTGAAATATAGCCCCAAGTTCGCACATCACTGATCAAAGTCGCAGAATCGTTTTCAGTGTCTGATGATGAATTTCCCTACGAATCATTATCACTCAATTCTGCAAGTGCTTCTGATTTACTATCGCTGTTCTCTAGCTGGTCTAAAACCAATTGTGACCGAAAGGGATGCTATTTGGACGCCATGGACGTTTCTCAGTTTCCAGGCAGAAAGAACAGTAAAAATGCAGGCAGGGCGCCGGACAAAGCACTCGGGACAAAATGTATGTGAAATGGTTTGAAACAGCAATGTTATACTATGTAATATTAGTTTATTAGAAAATGACAGTTTTTTTAAAATTTTCAAATTTGCTGCCGGTTCCATCCCCGAATGTCCCGACGCTCTCAGGGAGCGGAACACGGAAGCCGGATGCCGGCATCGGCCGGAGGAAATGGCTGGGGACGCTGCAG